CTCTAAGCCCCAACCCCAAAACCCTAGACCCTCTATGCCCTAGACCCCAACCAAACCCTAAACCTTCTATGCCCTAGACCCCAACCCCTAACCCCTAAACCCTAACCCTCTAAGCCCTAAGCCCTCTAAGCCCCAACCCCAAAACCGGAGGGATCTAGGGTTCCTTCAAGGTACCCCTTAGTACTAGGGTTTAGGGTTTAGGGTTTAGGGTTCAGGGTTTAGGTTTGGGGTTTAGGGTTTAGGGTTTAGGGTTTGGGGTTTAGGGTTTGGGGTTTAGGGTTTAGGGTCTGGGCATCTCGGGTTTCAAGGTACCCCTTAGTACTATAGGGTCCCAAATTAGAGGATCTACGTTGCAGATCCTCTCGGTGGTCTGGGATACCCAACCTCATACACTGATATCAGACAGGCCAACCCTAAGCCTCGGCACCCCTATATAGGGGCCCTAATAATTAGAATAGGGTTTTTGGGCCCTTTTGTACTAGACTTATAGTAACAAGGAACTCCCAACATAGTGTTGGTAATTATCAAGGCTACATTAAACCTTACTCTTCGATTCTGGACGTTTTCCCTTACGCTCTAACTACTCAGCTGTGAGTTGTGTTTCAACGTCTTCTGCCGGTGGATTGATGTCTCAAACAGCAACAATCTCTGAATACTGCGCAACTCCTCTGCCCATCGGCCACCTCTTCCTTTATCATGGCCGCTGCAGTGATTGGTCAGCGGCTTGGATGCAATTCAGAGACTCCAATGTCCCTTAATTAAGGAACATACCTTGAATTATAGTAGGATCCCAAATATGATTTAAGGTATATTCCTTAATTAAGGGGTATTGGAGTCTCTGGGAATCCCCAACCCAAGGATGATTGCTCCTTGTGGACTTGACGGTTCAGGACATGTCAGCTTCGAAGGAATCTGGGACAAAGTGCGCAGCGACAGAGCATTGTACAGCCACTAGCCCGCCCTCACGACCGGAGGACCGGAGGCTGCAGATCTCCCTTTCAGGAATCAGGGATCCCGCGCTCCAGCGTTTAAAGCAGTGTAGAGGCTGTCGAGTTTATATTCAGAGGTTCATGATTCCTATAAGGGGTCGGGACCTTGTGGTTGCGTCATGCAGTCTTGATCATTCGCAGTCTAGCTCCGTGACAACTGCTCTAATAATAGTCCTCCTCTGCTGATGCTCCTGCTCTTCCTCTTGCTCTTGCCAGTATTCCTACTAGTATTGCCGCAGCTACTACTTGGATTGCTCCAACTCACTGCTACCACTACTATACTCCTCCTCCTGTTGCCGCTGCTACAACAACAACGACAACAACAACAACAACAACAACTACTACTACTACCAGAAAACAAGATTTCACAACAGCGGATCCCAAATTCCACCGTGTCAGTGCTAAGGACCGCACCCGATATGGAGCTGGAGACCTCATCGGCCAAGGAGGGGATCGTGGATGGGTTCAGGGTTTAGGGTTGAGGGTTTAGGGTTTAGGGTTCAGCGTTGGTAACCCAGAGACTCCAATACCCCTTAATCAAGGAATATACCTTAAATCATATTAGGGATCCTTCTATAAGTTAAGGTATATTCCTTAATTAATGGGTATTGGAGCCCTGAGAAGTGCCCCGGGGGTACAGCTTGCTTCGTGAGGTGTTCAAGTTGGTTTCTGGTGCTTTCGGGTTCAAACTAAGGCATCTAAGGTTTTGCGCTGTAGCTGTTGTTGTACCGTGGCAAGGAGTTGAACGCTTCAGACACTCTCGCTTATTTCGGTGTCCATCAGTCTACCGGCTTTGTATGGGAGTTTCACACAGTAAGAGACCCTGCATTTCCAATTATCTTTGTGGCCCCCTTCTTAGGTTTAAAGATCCTGAAAGGGGTGCGACTGAAATAAGGTTAAGGCATCCCTCTATGTCGCCTAGAATGCTGAGTTCTCAGCTTGACAGTTGCACAAAGGAAGGGTTGTCGTTTCAGCCAGAACTGTTCGCACTTCTTGTGAAGATTGTCTTTCCGAGTTAGTTCATGCTGCTTCATGCCGATGACTAGGCTTAGTGCGCATTTTGGTCGGATGTCTTGGGAGCGTGTTTTGGGCTGTAGCTCTGGCCTGGACTCCGAGCAAAAGCCCTAAATCCTAAACCCTAACCTCTGGAACTGGGTTCCGTGACGCATCAACGCAAACCCTCTGTTTTCCCCAAGCCCCAAACGCCCCAAGCCCCCAAGCTGGATCGACTCCATCTGGCCAGTGATCTTCGGGTAGACTGCACGCAAGCAGTGGGAGTTTCCGTGAAACAGGGGGCCATTGCACAAACCCTAAATAGCAGCCTTTGTTTCTGAGGACCCGGAGCACAGACTGCATAGATCCTATACACCTATATGGGGGTTTCCGAAAATAGGGGACCCTAATATAGCACCCTAAATAGTAGGATCCTTATTATAAGGACCCCCAAATAAGGTACCCCTAATTTTCGGAAACTCCCATATCCAAACTAGCTCCTGCCGCCTCATCGAAGGACCTGACCCCCCCAAGTTACGAGTGGAGCCTATACGTCATTCCTTATTCCGACCAGGTCCTGGTCACGGGTACTAGGAACCTAAACCCGAAACCCGAAACCCTAA